AGCGCGGGAACACGTAGTTCAGGAACAGCGTATCCATGAGCGGCGGCAATGCCCTTCCCATTCTTGAAGTTTCGACCCACGGCCCATGTGGGGATACCTGCAGCAAATTCCTCGCAGAACAGCTCGTAAGGGGTAAACTCGAACCACTGGAACCAGCTCTCGCGTTTGGATATTTCCTCCAGCTCGTCTTCGGAAGCACCCGGCTTGGACGGCTTGGGTATTTCGTGTCGAACTGCGGTGTAAATTGGCATCGGGTTCGCCCCTCCTTTTACCACAGCACGTTGACTAGAAAGTTGCAGGTCGCTGTCGTTCAAAGCAGCCGTATCCTGGGGGACCATGAGTCTGGCTGCGAGCAATATACCATATACATCGACGAGGCCAAAATCGGCTTTGGGGTCTCCCTTGAGCTTCTCAATCACACCACGTAGGAGATATTTGTTTGTAGGCGGGGTAGTCAGGATATCAAGTGCCTCTGGAGGGAAAGCAATATGCGTGTGAAGCCTTGCCTTGAGATGGTCAATCATCTTACCAAAGTCCTGACCGCCAATAGACGAGTTAAAGAGAGTCTGCAGCCAGCATGAACCGCTCACGCCAGCAGTATACGTCAAGCAGTCCCAGAGCCCGGCTTCCTTGGCAGCCATGTACGATCCTGTTCCGGCAATGAGAGCTCTCAGTCCTCCTCCAGAAGCACACATGGCGATCACAGGCACGTCATCAGGGTGCACTTCATCTTCCGGCAAGCCCAAGTAAGACGCGAGGTTTCTTGCAACAACCTTACGGCGGTCCGAGAGAAAGGCTTCTTCCTCTGAGCACAATGTACCTCCAATCCTAACACTGGCTTCTTCAACAATGCTGGGGTTGAAACTAGGGTCACAGGCTTCTTTCCATACATCGTCGGCCACGGACCCGGGAGCCATTGAGAGCTCCCGTTGCAGGTTTCGAAGGATATCTGGTGAGAAAAAGGTCCAGCCAGGCGAGATATAGTCCTTGAAGACAGCCGACCAGTCTGCGCTCCAGTCCGAAGAGCTGAAGTAGCCCTCTGCAGTCCCGAGTCTGTCCGTCATCGTCTCCCATGCAGACTTGGGCTCAGCGTCGCCACCGGCATCAGCATCGTCCTTGTTCTCCTTCTCTCCGGACTGTATCCCCGACTTGACTAGCTTATCCAGCGCAGACTCTTCTGGGGTCTGAGGCGTTTTCTTCGCATTCCACACCGCAGTGCTGCGTCCGGCATCACACCGGACACTCTGCTTCCCCAGCAGCGCAATGGAGGCACTGCCGGACACGAATAGCGCTCCCTTCAGCGCCTGTCGCCATCTCGCCTGTAGGAACCTAGCGGCGCCCATGACAGCACGATCGATGGTTAATGACAGTCAATGTCTACTTTGAAGCGGCTGCCATGTCCCGGTTGACAAAGATCCTATTGTCTCGACGGGAGATTTGGGGTTTCTGGCCAACATTTGCCCGCGGGAGCAATTGAGTTTCGGTCGGCGCTTAGATATTCCGGCATGAAGCGACCCCGGCGCTTATCACGGCTATTATAGGCGCTTCATCATGGCTGAATCGAAGATTCTTAGTGGTGGTTGTTTTTTTTTTTTTTTTTGGCAACCGTATCTTGCCAAATATTCATGGTGTCATAGTTACGTTCTCAAGTGCACTTACATACAGGTTCAGCAAGCTAGTACTCCGTAGTGTTTCACGTTGCCCCAGGTGTTCCAAGCTGCAGTTTAGCAGTACTACTCCGTACAGCATCCGATATTCTCCCCTTAGTTAGATAGAGGCCTCCCCATGTCTTCTCCGATATATGAGTTTTGTCATTTTTCCCACCGCAACAGCCTTCTCGCTGCTGCTTCTCTCGCTTATCACTTAGGTACAGATAAGCTCTATATCACGTGAGGCAGGGTATTTTCATTATTTCCACCAATAAAAGGCTAACTTGGATTGTCAAATTATAGGAGATCGCATTTCATTGGCTTATCTAGCTTCATTTATTTATCATTGGCTCTAGCTGGAGATTACGTCTTGGCAGTATGAGGCTCTTGGCAAAAGGAAAGTCGTCCATGATATCATTCCATCGCTTTATCATGCGGCTTGTCCACGCCGGTCACTTGTGTGTTTCCATCTTTTGACGCGGTTTTGACCTCCAACTACCGTATCTTACTACGGAAGACTCTGGCAAAAGGTCGTTGCCGGCTCTCGGTGTGAAATCTTGCCGGAAGGACCGTTGTTACTCCCCGCCTCCGGACCGTTGGACTAGCCGTTACCCCCTATGTGAAAAGGGGACTCTTGTGCTACCCCCCGATGAACTAAGGAGCACCCATCGAGCGGGAGTTCGGTATTACCATCTTGTTCTGAGAATCGCCGCCCATCTGCCAATGACTGACACTCTTCAGATAGGCCGGCGCAATGGGCGCTCCACGAAACGCCGTCTACGCCGAAGAAAGCGCAGAAGTCGAAGTGCTCTATGCGGACCTCGAGAAGCTCAACACCCTCACTAAACGGATTCAAGGCTCTTTATCTCGGCTAGAGGCTAGCGGAAAGGTGGTCAAGAATGCGATCGGCCCCATATATGGCAACACACAGGCACTACATGCCACCAACACAAATATCGATAGGGTAAACGATGCTATCGAGCGAATGCGCCGGCCGTTAGACGTAAAGGGCCAGGAAGAGAGTATCATACGGGCTGGGTACGGATTTCACCTGTCACTTTGTTTTACCATCTGTTTGATCTAACTTGTAGCATCTATAGACCGCAAAATGCTGGCTTGCCGCAATTCATTGGGGCGTTGAAACGTATCGACCTCGCACTCACGGACCTGAGCGCTACCAAACTGCGCTCAAACCAAAAGGCTGTCTCTGAATTTAGCTCACTGCTCAGCTCGGGTAGCAGTAAGCTCCAGGATCTCTTCCATTCTACCCTGAGAGCAGAAGCTAATACTATCGAACCACTTCATTACCTTACCAAACGTGAGCTACTGTACCCACCTTTATCGAACACAGACACGTGCAACTTTTCCCAGCTAATATTTCTATAGAACTCCCCTTTCCTTTGCTGTCCCAGGATGCTTTCTCCGAACTTACTCCCGTTGCCGGTGCAATTACCGCTGCCTCCAAGCACATCCCTCAGCAGGGGCATATAGAAAACCCAGCTATCTCTATCTACGCGGAAGTCCGCGGCCCTTACTTGACGAACAGCTTGCAAAACCTAGCTACCGCTTCAATCAATACGGCAAAACGCAGGGCAGTTGACGGTCCTTACAAGCAAGGCACCAATGGAATCGGCGTGTACTCAAATGTCATCGAAGGAATGTTCGTTTCAGAGTATGAAAACATCGTCAAAATATTCCCTCCAGACCAACAAGGCAAGGCTCTGCAGGCAACATGTCGACCCCCTCTGGCAGAATTCTCCAAAACTATGCGAGAGCTAAACATGTATATCAAATCGAACCTGATCAACGATTGTTTCCTTGCTTTTGAAATAATCGATATCGTCACTTCTCTATCATACCGCCTAGATTCAAAGACGGGAGATCTTAAGAATCTTTTTTTTGAAGCTCTAAGGCCCATACGAGAAACAGCCAAATCATCTCTGACTGAACTATTAGAAGAGACCAAGCGTCGATCAGCAGCCCTTACTACCTTACCCCAAGACGGCTCACCTGTCCCACTGGTGAACGAAGTAATGAGCTCTCTATCCACGCTCACCGCTTACTCCAAACCTCTAGCTTCCATCCTCACATCACTAGGAGACGGCAACTGGAAACCCTCTGCAGTCCCGAACACCGCACCTCTTGACGTGGGACCAGACAGCACTACCCTACTATCCCATTTCATACTCGACATGATCGACACACTTCTCTCTTCCCTTGAAGCTCGCGCCCGGGCGGTGCATAAAAGCAAAGCCACGCTTGGCGCCTTCATTGCTAATAATGTTCACATAGTCGACAGAGTCATACGCAGTACTCCAGAACTATCGAACTGTCTGTCAACGCCAGAAAACGCAAGCAAACTTGAAGTATGGCGCAAGAAGGGTGTGTCGATATACCTTGATGCTTGGCGTGATCCGTCCTCCCATCTACTGGACGTACAATATACAAGTAGAGGCGGTGCCCGACCAACCTCAGGAGGACCCGTCGATTCCAGCGCCATCGTGAAGTCACTCTCCTCCAAGGATAGAGATGTGATCAAAGATAAATTTAAGGCTTTCAACTCTTCATTCGACGAGCTGATCGCGAAACATAAGTCATTAAACATGGAAAAGCCTGTTCGCACGTCTCTCTCCCGCGAGGTACAGGCTGTCATTGAGCCTCTTTACGCGAGGTTTTGGGACAGATACCATGAAATCGACAAGGGAAGAGGGAAGTACGCCAAGTATGACAAGGGGAGCCTCTCTGCACAGCTCTCAGCTCTAAGCTAGGATGCGTTCTCCTTGGGTGGGATTTCTGACCGATGTTTTCCAGTATATATTTTGAGCCTGTCCTTTGCACCTAATGAGATATATCTAATTTTCGCACCAAATTCCTTTATCCCCCTGAACATTACCCAGTTTATAACGGTAAATTTCCGCCAGTCTAAGCCAGCCGGGATATCCATTAAAAGCCCCCTCTTCCCGCGTCCCCCCTCCTCCTCTCATTAGTTAAGCACGGATTATTTAAATATCGTGAGTGTTGTTCAACAACCCGTACCTCTGACTTAGAGCTCTCGAGGTTTAACCATCTCATCCGCTATGCGATCATGGATATCTTACAAGGCTATAGCAGGGTCCCCTTGGACCAGCATTACGCTGGATACGAGTCAGTGCGGAGAGATTGCAGGCTGCAGCCGAACCAGGCTCCCAGGCGTCCTACATTTACTCAGCCAACAATCATCAGCTCTTAGAGGGATCTGCATGCTATTTATGCAGCAAGCGCCCCCCATGCCTTCTAGATATATTCTTCACGCTGCCTAGAAGTGAATATTCGGCTTCTACATAGGTGATGAACTAACAGCAATATCTGAAAATGGATCCGTTGTCCATCACCGCCAGTGTCGCTGGACTGATAACACTTGCAGGAGTCATCATCTCGAAAGGGTTTCAAATCTCGGACAGGTTTACCAATACCGAGAAAGAGCTGAATTCGCTTCTAAATGAAGTTTCCAGCTTTTCTGGTCTCTTAGTTGGTGTGCAGTCACATTTTGAACAGCATCAAGCTTCAACCCCTTTTTCCATATACTCTCTGAACCTACCAAGGCTCAGCGAAAGGGACCAATCACCAACGACTCCAGCCGGGCATCTTTATACTGCTCTCAATGATTGCAAGTCTATATTAGAAGATGTGAAAAGGTTGGTAGAAAAAATATCCATCACGCCCTCCTTCCAACTGGTTCTTCGCCGTGAGGTCTTTTTAAAAGAGGCTGTCAAACACGCTGCCAAACTAGAGCGTTACAAATCCTTTTTTATACTAGCCTTTCAGATAAACAGCTGGTATGAACGCCTTAATTAGACCCAAGTAAATGTCGGCAGTCGATAACATTTATCAGGGCACGCGAAGAAGAATCCCGGCCGATTACTTCTTTGATGAAGAATTAATTGGAGACGATCGGAGCCGCACAAAGACGTCTTGAAGATAAACATGAGGCTCAAATACAGGGTGAGCAGTTTACTCTCTGTTGCATATTCACGGGTACATAGGATTTCTTACACAAATCTTAGGCAAGATGAAGGACGAAATCTTCGACTGGTTGGGGAATGCCACAGTAGCAGCTCACAGTGACTCTCTGGAATCAAGACACCCGGAGACAGGGACATGGTTTCTTAGCAGCTCTGAATTTATAGATTGGATATCGGACGATTCCTCCAACCTCTGGCTTGATGGCATAGGTACATACCTCTATCACACATATTATCTATTCAGAGAGAGCTAATGTTTTACGTTGTAGCTGGCTCAGGAAAAACGGTTCTAATGCAAGTGGTTCGGATATTTGAATTCCCTTATAATAATTGGGAATGTAGATGGCTAACATTTTATCAGGTCTATGGCTATCGACTACCTTCAGGAGCTTGCAGAAAACAAGGACGAGTTGAGCGTGGCTTATCACTATTGCGGGTCTCCAGAGACACACAAGGGTGGCCTTGGAAAGCTGCTTGGTAGACTTGTGTCCCAAGTTCTCCGGCAAGCTAAGTCGGGATCTGCCTTGAGTGATACGTTCGAGACTCTAAGCCGCCTCAAATTTCGGTCTAGATACCCTCCCCTGGAACAAATGAAAAAGACATTGAATACCATTGGAAATTGCTTATCCACCGTTTTCATGGTTATAGATGGCATCGATGAGCTTGCTGACTCTGACGGCTTACTGCGCATCATTCGAGAGATCTCCGTCGCTTCCAAGGCTTTCAAATTCTTGATATCAAGCCGAAGTAGCGCTATGGTTGTTGATTCATTGTCAAACTTTCGTCACATAAGTCTGAGCTGCGACCTTATCGACGGTGATATTGAACGATATGTACGATTTCGTGTCTCAAACTTCCGGTGGCATGACGTTCCGGACATGGAAGAAATAATTCAAGGGCTGGTCAAAAGTGCAGATGGAATGTAGGTTATGCCACCTATGGATATCTCTTGTTTACATTGTTTTTTGCAGTACTGAGTGAAATACACAGGTTTTTATGGGTTGCTTATCAACTGGATTCTCTGTCACGCATACGGACAGCGATACCAAAATCAGCCCTTAAATCATTACCACGAGGTTTAGGACGTACATACGAAATGATTCTGTCAAAACTATCGGATGAAGACAAACATCTAGCCCTCAGAATACTGCAATTTATTTTGTGTTCTGAGCGTGGCTTACATCCGGCGGAACTAGTGGAAGCAATAGCTATAGATCCCGGCCAGACGAATCCACAGCAACTCAAGGGAAACAAGCTTCGCAATGAAGATGATGTTTTTGAGATTTGCAGCAATCTCATACGGCGCTCAAAGGCAACTGGACACATCGTGCTAGCTCACCACTCTGTTCGGGAATTCTTGATATCCCCTTCTCTAGAGTCGGGGGAGCTCAATCCTTTTTACATCAGCGATATTGGTGCCTCGATCAAAATTGCAATGTCATGCCTCACGTATCTTAATTTTCAAAACTGTCACACTCTTTCATTTTCTGAGGATATTTCTGAAGATGCTCTGGATAGGCTCGTTGCTGAATACCCTTTCCTTAGTTATGCTACATGCAACTGGTCTCGCCATATTCCCACCATTTATGCTGAGTCCCATTGCTTATTAGAACCTATTATCAAAAAGTTCTTCAACCCAGAGCTTGGAGGCCTGAAATTTTGGATTGCGTTTGCGCAATATACCTACGGAAGGTTTCGGATTCCGTCCAAGTTGACGCCGCTCCATATCTGCTCCATAGTTGGTGCCTGTGAAGAGGTCATCCAGCTTGCCTCTCCAAAAGAGAATGCAGACATACGTACTGAGAGAGGGCAGACAGCACTTCACCTTGCTATTGACAATGGCCATCCAGAACTAATTGGAAGTCTTATTAAAGCCGGGGTACCAATCAATACCCAAGATGGATATGGCCAGTCAGCTTTACATAAGACGATAGAACTGGGAGACAAGAATGCCGTGATATCACTCCTTTCGGCTGGGGCAAACGTCAATCTAATAACACATGATGGGACCACAGCTTTTAGCATTGCCGCGGATAATAACTGGACTGCGATTATGTATCTCATCGCACGTGTGGTTAAAACCAAGCTTACTCTCCCAGATGGTCGTACGGTCTTACATCTTGCAGCCCAGTCTGGAGATATTGAAAGTGCGCAAGAATTAATAAAGAGAGACAACTCACTATTACATCAGAGAGACCCAAATCAATGGACGGCTCTTCATTTTGCGGCTCACCATGGCCAAACCCGCATGGTCAACTTCCTGTTAGACAAAGATATGAGGCCTAATTTGGATATCAACGAGTGGTCACCAGCGCATTCTATCATCCAGCGTCGAGATACAACAACTCTGAAACGGCTTCTAGAGTGCCCCTGGTCGGCCGATTATGAGTCTAGAGTAGACTATTCTGACGTACTGCGCCGGGAAGCTCATCCGCGCGCCCCAATGTATCTTTCGCACAGTCAAAAGTACGGATATACAGGCAGATCCACTCAACAGGAGCCTACATCATCACCTCCCACGCCTCAGATGCCTTCGCTTGCTCACAGATATCAAAATATCAGTCGAGACTCCGCTTCACGTTACCCGACTGCCTCGCCATTTGGTAGTGCATCCAGTGGCTCTACAGAGCGTGGGATCTTTGGTCAGCCTCCGCCTCCCCTAGGCTTTCCGCAAAGTCCATTTACATTTGGTACATTTGGTAGTGCAACCAGTGGCTCTTCCGAGCGTGGGCTCTTTAATCAGCCTCCGCCTCCCCTAAGCTTCTCGCAAAATCTATTGGGTGAGAGAAGGACCTCTGGGGCATACGGACATTCCACCGAACCACGGCTTCCTAAGTTTCATTCGATTATACGATCTCTACTCGATCTCACCATATCATTAAACTATCCCGAAGGTTTTGGATGTCTTATAGAGTGTCAGGGCGAATACACTGTTATGGTATTGGGCGAATTACGCCAATTAAAACTCGTTTTGGAGGTTCCTGGAGGATCCAAACTGTTTAGGCTACTATTCTTAGAGTCACCGCTAAGCGTCCAGTTTGATATTTTATTATTTGCATTGACAGAGAGCCGCAGTGACTTCCGTCCAACTATTCAGAACGCGATACAAAATTCCCCGTATCGTGTGCATGGTGCCCTTCTCCTACATTCAGTTGACCGACTCAAAGCCCAGCCTCTGGTGTTTTTACTGGAGACATTGAGCCCTGGCCAAAGGCTACATGTTCTATCATGGGTCATTGACCAGTATTATGACGTTGACTTGATGGCACAAACAGTCCGTAGGCATCCACAGAAGGAATCTTTTTTAAGGGCGTTCTTGAGGGTTCTCATTTATGACAAACACGCCGATCACATCAGCTCCAGCAGCGGTTGCTCAATCAATGACGGACTTCGCCTGCAGAACGATCACTTCACTTTTCTCCTTCTAGAGGAAGTGGTCTTTCAGGGGCCGGCGCAGATACGGAATGTTTTTTCCAACTTCACGCATTTCTCAGACGAATCACCCAGCCTGGGCCTTGTTACAAGTTTAATTGATTATGCAAATCGAACCCGTGGCTTCAGTGATGGAGATGACCGGTTTATAAACGACATCCTCTCTTCGACATTGCTGTTGGCTAAGACAGACGGGAGGGCGGATATAGCAGCAATGCTACTAGAAGCGGGTGCCGATGAAAAAACTGTCGTGGGGAAGGCTGGGCCTGCTATACCCACAGAACTTACAACCCTCCAAATTGAGGATAAACTCGAGCAACTAAGGCTGAAGTTAGCCACGGTCGAAGACGGCCAATAATGGTGGAAAGCATTCCATTGATGACCTAGACTTTCACTTGGGTGTCCTCAGGACGCTTAGCGGGTTATTCAAAACCAATCCCGAGACAAAAAAACATCTCGAGCCGAAGAGTGCAATCTATGGCTGTGGCAGGACTTTTTTTTTTTGATAGCATTGGGTTCGAAATCATACATTCCAGAATCGGTAAACCGCTGTTGGGCCTCAAGACACCGAAAGGAGAGGCTACCCTAGGATTTGCCTTGCTGCGGAAGAAGTGAATTTGCCCGTGTGTTAATGGGACGACGCAGGCCTCACTGTAGCAAGAGACGCAAATAATTGACTATTTTATTGCTTGGTGAATGTAACCTATTGCACCTCTGTGTTGCCCGTTGGTCACAGATAATTCGACAAGCGAACTTGGAGGACTTAGGAGCGAATTTAGATAGGAGGAGGACTTTGTTTATTGATGCTTATCTCGGACGTTTGATATGTTGTCACTAGGAACACATTCATTGTGGTAATTCATTACAGCCCTTGGGGATTTTAAAAGTCTACAAATTAAATGGCGTTTCTAGCTTGAAGAGAGAGGCTAGGTGCAAAATTGAATCATTTAGATTAGTATTGACAAGTTGATATATCTAAGGATATACACATGGTTATAGGCAGCTGGGTAGGTGAATGGGTATGTAGTCGGTATATAAATAATGAACATAGATGAGAATCCCTATGAATAGGGGAGGTAAGAAGCAAAGGCTAGGCAAGTAATTCATGGATAAAAAATTGAGGAGTATATGAATGATGAAGGTAGAAAGGGAATTTGCGGAGAGGCAGGCTAGATATATAAACATTAATAACAAAATGCAAGGAATTCAAGATCGGTCATGTTAATTCTTTTGTTTCTAGAAAAGAAATTTCCAGTATACTTATTTATGTTATGCTATGGGTATGGCTACCGACCAGGTCCCATCTCGTAGATCTGTTCAGGAACGGGTCCGTTATGTGTAGCAGACATAGGCGTCGAAGCCAGCTCGGACGGAATAGGCGACATCTGCTGTGGTGAGCCGACGTTTGATCCAGGCATTTCAGCGTGCTGAGTCTGAGGTGGTTGTTGCGGGGGTTGCGAGAACGGAGAAATCTTCTGTTCGTTCGGGTACGTTGGTAGCTGGTCATCAACTGGGGGTTTCTGTTCAACAGGCGCGTAGTATCCTCCAGCGGCAGAGGGAGTTTGGTAATAACCCTGCTGGTTCATGCTTGGTGGTGGCATGTTGTTATTTTGCGTGTAGGCGGTAGCAGGGGCTGGGGCTGGGGCGTTATCTGGCTTCTTGCGCAGAACAAACCACCAGATTGCGATGAGGATGGCGGAAACGCCAGCGACACAACCTACAACGATACCAGCGATAGCGCCGCCCCCAAGCCCGGCGCCGCTGGGGGGTGGGGGTGGGGTAGGGCTGGGAGTTGGTGAGGTTGAGTTAGATGGTTGTGGGGAGCCATCTGTACCGGTATTGGTGGGTTGGTTAGAGTAAGACTCGGTGGTGGTGGACGGGATGTGGGTGGCAGAGTATTTAGAGGCATAGTCGGGTCCGAGGACGGAGGAATAATATTGTGACAATGGCGAAATGTTGTTGGAAACCGAAGCGTACGAGTAGCATCCGTAGAGCTTGGTATTTTGGTTGAAGACATAGGTTCCGCAGTAGGGAAGGGTTGAAATGCTACACCTGAGAGCCAGTAAATCCCTGGAACAAGCTGAGTCGCAACTGACACTTGATGGGTAGCAGGTGGTTGGAATAGTAGTGCAGTCATTGATATTTTTGCTTAGACAGCAACCAGCAGCGTTTCCAGTATATATACAGGTTGCGCGGGCATTGACACAAGTCAGGGGATTCTCTATATATCAAGTTAGTTTTCCCTACTTTCAAGCTGACGGGCATCTAGACGAACCTGGGTCACCATCAACCAAACCACAATAATAAGCTGGAGGAGGGAAAGGAATCAACAAGCTGGCAGAGCTGCTGGCCTGTCTCTTCACTAATTCCAGGGGTATTCCATCAGGCAAACCGGGAGGGGGCGTAGGCTTCGGAGACCTCCCGTTGAGGGCAATGAGGCCAGCGGGAGTTGCAACAGGCACCATGTGTTCCAGGTCGGCTGCATCGACGATAGCGACGGAGAGGAGGGCGGCCACAAGGGCCAGTGAATATCCAACCATGTCGTTGGACTGATGGTAACTGACTTGCACAGAGGAAGGTGGTATAGAGGGTGAAGTTGACGGCTGATGGATATTGAACCGAACGTTCCCCAAGTTCAGAAAATCTGCTGGTCTTCCTCTGCCGGGAGATAGGATAAAAATAGAAATAGCAGATCTCAGGTCTGATATCTCCCGATTATCCCAGCGACACACAGAACGAATACAGCAATATTCGCGTCAGGATATCTCCTCGACCCGAGCAACGCCAGCACAACAGAGAAGCAACAAGTAGATGAGGAACAGGAAGAAGAGAAAGAGAAAGGGGAGATGTGAAGGAAGAAAAGATCGGCTGGTCACCTTTTCTTTCTAAAAAAGAAAGGAAAGAAAGCGAAGAAAAACACGAACAGCGACAGATGGAGGAAGCTTTGAGCCTCGCCGCAAGCTCAATTGAAAGGGGTGCCATACCCAAGCTATCTCAGAACGAGCTAGCGAGAAGGTGAGGCTCGTATTTCCCGCCCGCTGACTTGTGGAGAGGAGGTTAGGCGTCGTTCCCCCGAGTCAATAATTGGGTCTATCGCGAGGTGAAGGTGGACTCGAAAACGAGACTTGAACCAATGGAGGCATAAAATACACACGATGGCACCTTAAACGAGACTCACACTGGTGCGAGTGGTCAAGACATAAATAGTGTCGCAGCTAACTTTCAAGCTTCCTCGAAGCAGGTCACTCATTCTTTTGAAATATTTCGTGGAAATATTCGATATATTTCAGTGTTCTTTTGTTGACGGACTTCAGATCTCATCATTTACCTTCGCTCATATTCAGGGGCTGAAGGATGCGGTCCCGTCCAGGATGGCCCTGTTCAAAATAAAAATGTCCGGCCAGCGAAAAGGACAAAAAAAGCAAGCATATAGATAGAATTAGGCACAGCAGAACAAGACAGCTGCAAACTGCGCCTCGGAGACCGCAGGCTGTATCCTATCGTAATACAGAAACAGCCATCTCATGTGGTTGGAAGAGCGAGCCGACCGAACCGTTACCAAGCTGATACACCGCATCAATTTTAGCGAGAAATATCAGCCTCTTTTTCTTTCTGTCCTCCGTGCTTCAGCCGCAGCGAACTGAACATGATAGAAAAACGCGGGTTTTCTTTCACATCTTTCAAGTCGCTCGAGGGGCCGACCACGTTGTTGCCATGGTACCTGTGGCCATGCAGTGCCATGCCATGCATTATTATTACTACTCCGTACTCCGTACATGACTTTCCCATTGTTCATGGACATGGTCAAGCCTTCGGTACCAAAAAAAAAGAGGGTTATGTTTGCTCCAAACCATGAGGTTATTTTTAGCTCTGCCCGCCCGCTTGCATCTTGACATGTCGGATATCTTTTGCTTTGCCACTGCATGGGTATAATTTTGAGCCATGGAGTCGCTTGTTCAAGACTCAAGCCTTCGCTGGTCTGGGGTCTCGTGCGTTCCTCCGATGCCTGCTGTTAGCCTTAGCCTTGGTCCCTTGTGTCTGTCTTATCTTATCTCCTCTTTTTGGCCTTAACTCGTCGGTGACCATCCTGTCTCCCCGTCACATACTCTTGTTCGTCATCAGTATCATCATTTTCACCTTCATCACCTTCTTTATGCTGTATGTTGATATGTTGTCATTATTGACGTCGTCGGGATGAAGTTGAGGTCGACGTCCTTCCTTTCCCTCCGTTTACCCCTTTGGGCTTACCACGTGACTATCACCTGACATGTCTTACTCATCTCTTAGTCATTCGCGGGTGAAATCGGCCCTTCCTCACGTGCTCCCACGTGCGGCGGGAATTTGCGGGCACGGGGAACCTCGGGCCGACGGAGACTCTTGCTCCGAGCGGACCCCGTGACCTCGCCGGCTATCTTACCTAAGCAACCTGCGAGATACCTCGGAATACTTCCTTCGCCGCCGCAGCGACTGCGCCTCCAGAAGTATCTCGAAGTATCGCCGGCCATGACGCGAGAGGGGGACCTGGCTCTTCTTTGCTTTTGCTGGCTGCGGGAAACTTCCTCGTGCGTCTTTTCCGCTTGAGTTGAGACCTTTTTTCCCTCCTCTTCTCCCCCCAAAACGTCGTTCTCTGCTGCCGTTGTTGCTACGTATATGGCTTCACGTTTGCCTGTTCTGCAACTGGCTGGCTAACGAGGTCAATTGGCGCGCACCCGCGGCGGTGCAGAGCGACGACGCAGAAGACGAGGGAAGTAGAAGCGGCAGAAGCAGAAAGGGACCCGGGAAGAAACGACGCCCGCCAACGGCAAACTTAGGACGCTTTCGACCTCGGCAGGGCTCCATGCTCTCGTGACGCCGGCTCGAGTCATAGTCGTACGATATAAGGCATTCCTGTGGTTGTAAGAGACGTCTGAGATACAAATACACTGGTCGAACAGCCCAGGCACACTGGCCGCAGGGAGGTTACTTGAGGATACCGTGAGATCGAGGCAGCGAGGGTAGCCATGGCGTGGAGGGCTTCGGAGCGTCTCATGGAGACCATCCGGCACTATGCCTCGTTCCCGGCAACAGGAGTGTCGCTGCGACAGATGGTGCAGTTTGGCGACAAGCCGTCGACAGGTATGTCTAGATTAGCTACTGTATTGTTGGGTGGTTGTACTGACTCATTACTGTAGGAACACTCTTCCGGGCGTCACAATTCCTGTCGGAGGAGCTGCCCATACGCCTGGCTCACAGGGTACGAGAGCTAGGAGACCTACCGGATGGATTGAATGAGATGCCGTCTATCAAGAAAGTCCAGGACTGGTACGCTCAGTCGTTCGAGGTACGTCTACATAGATATACTGATTCACTAATACCAATCACTACGAAGAAATGATATTAACATGTAGATTAGGAGATCACCAAGTTGGAACGGCCAAAGTTGACAGAAGAAGTACGGTCACGGTTGCTCAATTCCAGCAGGATGAACGGCCGCGAGCCACGCATGCTGGAGCAAGCAACCCCCAACCCCAGCATAAAGCAGGGCCAGTACCGCTCCTCGCCAACGACATCCATCCTCAACAGCATCTACAGCAACGGTAACTCCAGCGTAATCGGCAACAATGGCAGCACAACGACGACAACCACGGCGACTAATGGCGCGAAACACCGGGTTGCAGGGACTCGCCGGTACTTTGTTGCTGCGGACGACGGCGCCGATTGGCCGCCAGAATTGATCGACTACAACGCTCGTTTGGCTTCGACCCTGGACACAATCAAGAGACGACACGACAGCGTTGTGACGACGGTGGCACAGGGCGTGCTGGAGTGGAAGCGCAAGAAGCAGCGGCTGCAGATCGACTCTGGAATACAAGCCTTCTTGGACCGGTTTTACATGTCCCGTATTGGCATTCGTATGCTTATTGGGCAGCACATTGCTCTTACCAACCAGCACCACACATTCCATCCAAACTACGTCGGAATTATCTGCACAAAGACAAACGTCCGTCAGTTGGCGCAGGAAGCCATTGACAACGCCCGCTTTGTCTGCGAAGACCACTATGGCCTCTTTGAAGCTCCCAAGGTCCAGCTCGTTTGCCGCGATGATCTCGATTTCATGTACGTGCCCGGCCACCTGTCACACATGCTCTTCGAGACGATCAAGAACTCGCTGCGTGCGGTGGTAGAGACACATGGACCAGAGAATGATTCGTTCCCCGTAACCAAAGTCATCGTGGCCGAGGGAAGGGAGGACATTACCATCAAGATCTCTGATGAAGGCGGCGGTATTCCTCGATCAGCCATCCCGCTTGTATGGACGTACATGTACACCACCGTTGACCAGACGCCCAATCTCGACCCGGACTTCAACAAGAGCGACTTCAAGGCCCCCATGGCCGGATTCGGATACGGTCTACCCATCAGTCGACTCTACGCCCGGTACTTTGGCGGTGATCTCAAACTCATCAGCATGGAAGGGTGAGTCTTTTGTCTTTTGCTTTTATTCAATATAACCCCCCCATCAACTAACACACAACTATAGATACGGAACGGACGTCTACCTCCACCTCAACCGCCTCTCGTCCAGCTCCGAGCCTCTCCAGTGACAACTACCAGTCATGAGGAATGGGCGCCCCCTAGTCCAGACATCCCGACACTTCACGCCAACCACTCTTGCAAACACTCTCCCAAGCCCATCCTCATTGACGCCAACAACAACTGAATCAGCCATCCCACCACCCCCAAGCACCCCCGAACTATTTCCATACTTATATAAATCCTCTTCCCGCCCCGCAGCCAAGGAAGCAGGACCCTCCTGGCTAGCGATACCGGCTTCGAAAAAGCCGAAGTTGAATTTATACCAGCGCCTGGCTGGCGTGACGGGCTTGACGGCCATGAATTCGTCCGTGATTCGATCACGGGTGAAACGCAGAGAAGTCTCGGAGAGAAAGCAAGTTGGCGATGCCGAGATACTGGTTAACCCCGAGAGAGCAGGCCTGTAACCTGACTATCTCTTGGATTATTTTTTTCTTCTTCTTTCTTTTGGCTCTTTTTCTTTTATTTCCTCTTTTTTTCCCTCTTGGCTTTTATTCATTGTACATATGCACATACCACTGTCTATCTGTTCCTTGCACCCCCCGGCTTGATAAGGACAGATACCAAGACAAGTGGAAGACCAGGTGGAAACCACCTACCATGCAAAGGGAGGTACCAACCCTACCGATCCATCTTACTGCATTTACCACGGAGCTAGAGCAGAGAGGAGCACACAGGCAGGATAAAAAAATCTGATGTCTTGGGGGGAGGAGTTATTGAGATGATATCACACGTTCTAACAATGTCAGCGTAGCGCACTACAACATACATGTCTTGGTTAGATATTTTTTTCATTATTAGCTAGTTAAGAACAAGAAATACAGCGCTAAATACTTCAATTTTTTTTTCATACTCTTCCCTTCCCCTTTCTTGTAGAACTAGAACTTGAACCAGCAACATTCCCTCCCACTCCCATCCCCGTTCCAAGAACCGTGCCTCCAGACGGGATTTCCTCATTCCTCCACCCCCCATTGACCTCCACGATATCAACGATAGGCGTGTCCGTTCGAACCGTCGCCTCAGACGTACCCCCCAACGAGCGCCCGTCATCCATCCACCTCCGTCCCGGCATGGACTTGGGAATGCTCATACCCGTTAGACTGGCGCCCACCGCATCCGACTTATGTGCCTGCAGCAGCCGTCCTGCCCGGAGGTCATGCACGACGTATTTCCGCAGAGGCGGCTTATCAGCTGGTCTGCGGGCCAGGGAGTGTATGAATCGTTGTCTTGTTTGAGGAATGGACTAGATGTCTGTTAGCAGATGAACGTAATGCATGGATGGGATGGGGTGCGTACCTCGTTGTTAGAGACGGCGTGGAACATGAGCATTTCCAGATCGTCTAGGACGCCTAGGGCTGCGTGCCGGCGTTCTCGCGACTCAGTTGGTTCATTTAGTTCTTCTGCATAGACGAATCTCGGATGCAGATCTTGAGTTCGGTATGGTTGGCCGGGTACTGGACATTGTGGAATATTAACATCTGCTTTATATCATTTCGTTTTCAATATGGGGTGTTTTCTCTACCTGGAGCGCGGGGGGCGATTTCGTATGCTTCCTCTTCGATGTTAGGAGGGTTATTCGGAGACGTGGGGTTGTCGAGGTCCATTCTGGCAACACTATATATTATATACCGCTTGTCTCCAGCTTTGTATCTTTGTCTATGGGTATAGATATGGGTATCAAGTCGTGGTTGTCGTCGATCTAGATAATCAAGGAAAGTCGACGTTGAAGTCGTTTTCTGCCTTACATAAGCAGATAAACCTACTAGTTATCAAGTTGGTTGGATTATTGATATAAATAAACAACATCTTCACAGACACGGTAGAAAATTAATGCATTAATTAATATACATAAAAGAAAGCAAAAAGATTCAAGCAAGCACGCATCTATCCCCTCTCTCCCCTCTCCCATCATCTAGGTAGAAGTAAAGCAGAAGAAACAGGAATCAAACGTACTCGTTCATCCCATCTAGACCGGCGAACAAGCAGACAGACACAATCAGCGGGCCTAGATGGAATCAAGAAGTGGAATGGAATAAAACGGAACGAAGAAAAAAAAAAAGGGAAGTAAAGTGACAAACAAAAAAACCCATTCTATCCCTCCGCATAACAGCATACATGGCAAGTAAGGCAGTAAGTAGGTAACATAAATAAAAGGCAAAGTAGATTGATAAGGAAAAAAAGAAGCGGAGGAGGGAATGTGAATGTGAATGAGAATGAGAATGAACTGGTTAACGGGAGGGAATGGTAAGTTGGAAGACACCGATAAAACGCCTTTGAACTCCCTGAACCCACTGGACAGGTAGACGGCCGGGATTGTGGACGGTCTACGTGTTTGGTCGTGGGCTTCGTTTGATGCCGCTAAGGTAGACGAGCTGGTAGTCGTTTTCTTCTGTACTGGTCTTGTCTAGACGAGAGACATGACTGACTTTTTTGTTATGTGCTTTTGCTTTTTTTTAATATTTAGACTTGCGTTGCTTTTTGGCGTGTTTTTGGAATGATTTGATTTGCTTCGTTTTTCTCATTTTTTTTAGTATGCGTTTTCTGGCGTGCTTGTGTGGTTGTTTGTGGTACTCGTGCGTGTTTCTCGGTTGTTTAGGCTCGACTCGATTCGAGCTGGCTTGAGATGGCATAGCATGGCATGACACGGCATGGCATGACGGCGGGATGTAGCGTGGGTGGTGTTTTTGGTGGAGGAAGAGGAGGTGTGATGTGTCTTAAGCCAGGTCGCCCCAAGTTGAACGATGGATGTTGGAGGAAGACAGGGATCCAGGCAACGTCGAGTCATCCAACAGTAAACATCCCTCGTTTGCCTGGGTGGCAAGTGGGAGATATATTTACCAGGGCCATCCACTGTTCTGGCTTGTGGGTTGGTCCTGGTAGTAAATACTTACTGCTGGCGGGCTCGAGCGAGCTTACCAACAGCCCGAGAGAACGGCGCGGTGCCAGCAAGATGGCTCAACCACAACCATGCACGAAGCTGTTCTTCGGCCAAGGATAGCCCGTATCCGCCCTGTAGGAAGAGGAACAAAAATCCAACGGTTAGCAAGGCTGGCGCTCTAAAAGTTCTAGTCGCTTGGCGTGTCGCATGTTCAGATTTCGGGGATTGAATTGGGGAGCAAAAAAGCCTAAAGGCAGGGCGCGGAGATGGGGGAGGAGGATCGGGGATACGAGGGAGGCTCTTATTCGAGTACGAGGGATGTATATAAGAGCCTCCAGCACGCCCACGTCCACTGTACATATGAAGTGGGAAAAAAAAAAAGAGCGAGAATGAAAGAGGGAGAAAAAGAGCGAGAATAAAAAGGAAGACAGAGAGAGAGAATATTGAACATACCATGTGGTCAGGTTGGGGTTGTGATAAACATCCTTGTGCTTCCTGATATAGTCTGTTGTCTCCATTCCCGGCGGATCACAGGTGACGCTCTTCTTGTCTTTTTCCTGATAGATGCGGATATAATCTATCCTCATTGTAGCGGGGAACAGGGGCGCCAGGCCAGTGAGATTCAGGGCAGCGAAACTGTTGGACATGCCCAAGTTTGCAATCAGGGCCATGGGCTCGCGGGGGATGACGCGCTGGCCGACGTTGCCGTTGGGGCCGAGGGCGCGGGCGTCGAGCTTCCATGACTTCTCCTTGCCTACGTACCAGGTGATTTCGCCCTTGTCGCCGGGGATGTAGTCGAAGGCGTAGACCTGGTACTCCTTGCCGTTGTACCAGTTGTTGTTGAGGTTGGTGACGCCGGAGATGGCCTGTTGGTAGACACCTCCTCGGTAGGCGTTCATGATGGTGATTTCGGGGTCATACAACTCGGTGAAATCTGCTTTCGTTAGTTGATTTTTTCCTTTTCCTGGCTATGAATTATGCTAACTGGGAGTAGATGCTTACCGTAGTCTGGCATGTACCAGACGTCAAAGGGAGCGACCTGACAACTCTGGGAGACGTCTCCAATGACGTTGATGGGCTTCTTCTCGCCATGCAGAGCGTGGACACTGGCTTCGATCACGTCTATCTCGGGAGAGGTGCGTGATTTGCCTGGCGTGGGATGGTCTGCATCATCACACGTACAGGCAGGGAGCCTCATGCCCGGCAGGAAGCTGAGGCCGCCGGGATCACTCTGGTTGGCGGTGATTCCGGCGTCACACTTGTCGTGGTAGCTGTATGGCCACATGCCGTCTGTGGTGGCAGGATACCCGGGTCTACCTAGGTTGCCCATGGCCCAGAAACCGGGCCAGAGACCAGAGACGTCTCCTCGGCCGGGCAGGGAGATGCTGGCCTCGAGTCTGCCGCCGGTGAAGCACATCTGGTTCCAGGACTGGACCATGCCGGAGCGGTAGTTGAGGTAGTGGTTCTGGAAGGCGTCGAAGCGGAGTTCCAGCTTGCCGTTCTTCGTCGTTACAGCATCGGGATCATACCACTGCATTTATTAGTTTTTGTCTTTTTTTATTGTGTTTTGAAAGAGATGAAGGTTGATGCTTACCTCGAGATCCTGGGTGACACCGTACCAGATGTCGACGGCCTGCAGGTAAGGGTCGTCTTCCTGGAAGAAGGTCCGTCCATCGAGATTGAACTCGTCGGAGAACTGCTCAAATTAGCACCATAGCAGCAAGAATATATGGGTAAGGCTGAACGCACCACTAGCTCGAGGTCCTTTCCGTTGGCGGACTTCTTCTTCATGGCGGACTTGGGCGTGTCTGGATCGATCAGGCCGGTCCGTATGTTCTTGAGCAGCGGTATATCCGCGTCTATGCACATGGGGTCACCGGCACATCCTCCCTTGATGCTCGTCAATCCCTGGATATACGATCTGGAAGGATTGTCAGCATAAAAATACGATCAAAAAGTGGTTGGTTATAGTGGTTGGTCTGAGTGGCGGTGACATACATTACAGGATATCCGATGAAGAGGGTCAAGACACCGCCGATGAGGAAGATCAGGGCACCGATGTTGGTGATGCCTCGCTTGTGCCAGATATCGCACTTGCGCTCCTTGTCGTTGGGGTCCGGGTTGTGCAGCTCGTCGTCCTTTTCGACGTCGTGCGGGTACACGATCAGGTCTCCGTCCGGGAAGATGGCAAACTTCTCCGTCACGGTCTGCGTGGTGATGCCACCTTCGTCGTCGCTGCTGCCGGCCCTCGAGGGCACCCGCGAGTCGTCAAAGGGGCTCGAGTAGGTGTACCCTCCGTAGCCGTAGCTGGCATGGCGACTGGCCGCGTCCGAACTCCAGCTGGTGCGCCGCGAGGAGAAGCTGGTGTAGTCTGCACCATACGCACCACCACCGCCGCCATTACCGCCTGAATAACGCTGTTGCTGCAACTGCTGCTGGTTCTGAGAAGTCGGATAGGGATAGCCGCTCTGGGAGTCGTCTACGTAGGCCCGCGAGCGAGGCAGGCTTCCTCCCGGCCCGGGCACGGCGAGGCGTTCGGTGGACTCGTTGCGGGAGAGCGAGTCTGCGGGAGCCGGGGAGGGCGAGAAGGTGCGCTGCTGGGGCGAGATGAGGGCCCGGGGCGTGATGGGCGAGGGCCCCGCGAGCGTGCTGGCGGAGGAGATGTTGTTGTTGCTGCTGCTGCTGGCGTCTGCGAAGGGGTTGCTGGGCTCTCGCTGGACCTGGGAGTTGATCTGGAGCGTGGGAGTCTTGCGGAGGCGGTTTGGCGGGTGCCCGCTGCCATTGCCGGGCCCGAGAGGGTCCATGGTCGAGTCTCTCCTATATCACAGTCATCTGTTGAGGTCGCGGAGGATGGTGTCGGTGTCGATGTCGATGCTGGTTGTTGGTTGTTGGTTGTTGCTGGCTGGCGATGTTGGTGTTTGATGTTGTTGATGTTGTTGATGTTTGATGATGGCGTTGGCGTTGTTGATGTGCGATGGCGAAGCTGACGTAGACAAAAGAGCGGCAGGCGGACAGCCACCAGACTCAGTATTATTATTATTATTCCGTGACAGAGATCGTGATATTGACGACGTTGGCGATGTTGACGATGTTGATAGAGAGTGATAGAGAGTAGTGGTAGAGAAGAAAAGTTGCAGGGAAAAAGCCAGGCGAAGCTAAACACGACAAGACCAGACCAGCCTCGATAGATACAGCAAAAGGACAGAAGAGACAGCGAGAAAAAGACACTACTGAGGAATCAAAAGAGACAGACGCAAGAGAAAGACTCAAGACAGATCCACCGCGGGTTCCTGAAACCCTTCGTCAACCTGTCTTACTCCCATCCCATTCCCATCGCGGTGCGTCCCCTTCATGACGTCGCCACTGGGCCTCGCAAGCCATCCCATCCCCTTGCGTGGAAATTAAGTGATACATCCCAGCCCGCCCGTCTTAGTCAAATCAAGCCAGGCCGCCTCCAAGGCAGGCCTTGTCCTGCTGGCTGCTGCTGGTCCTCCTGCTGGTCCTCCTTGCTGGTGCTGCTGCTCTCTTCGCTGCTGCTTGCCTTGCCTCTCTGCCCGCCCGCCCGCCGATCGCCCATCGCCCAGCCAGCCAACCGTCCGCCCCCTTTTAATCGTAAGAGATTTCAAGCCAAGCGATCATCTTGTGAGTTAGTCGACTCGACTGGCTTAGGGCTCGTACGGAGTATATAGTTAATAAAAGGTAAAAAAAAAAAAAAAGACTAGGTCTCGACGGCCCTCGCCTTCAGACCGAGCAGGCGGCCCCCGTCGACGTCGAGGGCGAGCAGCCAGTACTCTGCGCGAGAATGGTCGTGCTGCACTCTGTAGACTCGCACTTCAGCTTCAGCTGCCGATGCGGACGCCGACGCCGTGGACGAGCAGGCGGCCTTCACTGCCTCGAGGACTGACGTGTACTGGCCGCGGCGGTCGAACTGGGCAGGCGAGAGGACGCTCACTTGGACTTTGGGCGCGGTGGAGCCGTGGACGAGCTGTGGGAACTCATCTACGTGGAATTAATATTAGCATTCAATAGCCAGGTAGAAGTCGTAGAAGTAGAGTAAAGATAGGGATAGAGATAGGGATAGGGATAGGATACCCTTCGAGGGGAGGTGGTCGAGGGCCAGGACGACGGGCTCAAAGGGCTCGTCGGTCTCGGAGGAGTAGAAGGCGTCGACACGCAGACTGGGAGGGACTCGCTGCTCGTCGACGTCCAGCGTCTTGCTCGCGATGAAGCCGGAGTCCTGATCGTCTTTCTTGTCGGCCTTGTCGGTGGCTGTGGCTGCGGTGCTGTCGAGGCCCTGGTTGGCCTTGTCGAGGAACGCGGCGTAGGCAGAGTCGGACGACATCTTGTGAAGTTGACGAAGTTGACAAAGTTGATACTGTTGATACTGATGCTGTAGAGCAAGTCGGTCAAGTCGATTAAGTCGATCAAGTCGGAGAGAGAGAGACGGTAGAGAAAGACGAGAAGACAGAGCCCGTCCAGCCCTTATGACGCAAGCCAGGCTCGCTCGCATGGTGTTGTTGGTGGCGAGTTACTAGACTGCTAGACACACTCTTTATACTTAATACTCTTATACTCCTATACGCTTATACACTTATACACTCATATGCTTATATGCTTATATTACTCGTAATTTTTATTGAGAATCGTTTTATTATCATGTCATGGCTAGAGTTACGAAGACGAAGCAAGATCCTTCTTGAGAGTGCCCAGGAACGCCCGCTTCTCGGCTGGGGTCTGGTAGGCGCCGTGGCCGAACTTGGAGGAGGTGTCGATCCATTTGAGGTCGACCTTCTCGGTGGCCTTGCGGGAGACCTGCGGCCACAGGGTCTTGCGCAGGGTGACCACGCGCTTGCGGACGCCGGGGATCGAGCCCTTGAGCATCACGTAGTCGTTCTTGACCTCGCCGTAGCGGACGAAGCCGCCCATCCTGGAAGATATTAGCATACATATAAATAAATAAATAAATGGAGATAGAGACATACGGGGTGATTCTCTTCTTGGAGACGTCAAACTCGGTCGAGGCATTGCCCTCGTCGTCGGCCTTGCCAATGCGGTAGATCTTGTGGTTGGCAGAGGTACGGTGGTGGTAGCCGTCCTGACCGGCACGCGCAACGGTCCACTGCACATGCGAAGGATGCCAGGCGCCGATACACGCAACCTTTCGCAGACCCTTGTGCGTCTTGCGAGGCAGCTTCTTCGTGCCCCATCGAGAGGTGACGCCGCTGAAGCCGTGGCCCTTGGTCACAGCAATAACATCCACAACCTCGTCCTTCTCGAACACGCTGTCGACGTCGATCGGCTTCTCAAAGAGGCCGTGGGCAAACTCGACCTTGTCGGCGATGCTGCCGCCGTTGACCTGGATCTCCATCAGATGGGCCTTCTTCTGCTTCAACGGGGTCTTGCGGATCTGGGTGTGCGCGAGCAGGCGCACGACGGTGCAGTAGTTCTTGATGCGCTCGAGCTCGCGGGTGGTGGTGGCCGCGTCGGCGTGGGTTTTGGCGTAGCGGGTGAACGCCTTCTTCTTGCTCTTGTACCAGTTCTTGTAGAACCGGCGCTTGACCTCGTCAGACAGATGGTCGGCCCAGACCGTGGTCAGCGAGCGGAGGCCGCGGGGGGTCTCGATGTAGCCGACAATGCCAACAGCAATCATCTAATCTCTGTCAACTGCCTATTCTTATTCCTTTTATTTTTCTTCGATAGGGATAACCTACTGGTGGGGTCTCGACGATGGTAACAGCCTCGACAATCTCCTTGCGGTGCATCTTGGCTCCGGGACGCTCGAGGTCTCGCACGATCGTGGTCATGCCGGCCTTGTAGCCCATAGTGGCAGTGAGGTGGACGGGCTTCTTGGGGTCATCTTTGGGGAAGCTTCACGCCGTCAGTCTCTCTCTTATAGACACACACATATATATATATAAAAACCTACCTCTTGACCTTTCCACGGTGTCTGGCAGCGCGCTTTCGCGGCAGGTAGGCAAGAGAGCCTGTCTCATCGTCAGTCTCATCGTCTTCTACCTCCAACTTCTCTCTCTTCAACTATCTCGACGTCGTCTTACCGTGCCTCGGGGCTTCGTATTTTCGGTGACTCCTGCAGCGGCCATGGTCAGCTCCCAGTTCACTCAATTGTAGTCTCCCGCCTGCTGGGCGGTCTGTCTGCACTTACATCTTGACCCTCTGTCGACCCTTGGGATGTCCTGCGTCGTTGGTTGTCCGTCGGGGAAATTCGCAGCAGGTTGAAAGTTCTTCTTCTTCGTCTTTCGCTTTTCTCGCTTAGTCTTTTTTGGTGTTTTCGCCTTTTTTTGTGCGCTTGCCGAGTTTGTGTGATTATGTAAGGGTCACATGAGGTCACGTGGGAACATAAACAAAATCGATAACAAGAGACGATGAGAAGAGGATAGAGTAAGGAGAGAGTAAGAAGGTAGATGGGGTGATGATATTGAGGATAAAGGATAGAGTAGATGGAGGTAATGAGACGATGTTACGGTCACTACTCTGTCGACTGCATTACTCCCTTCTCTGCTATTACTTCTCCCTGCTTGATACTTATGATATCTGAGAGATGAAGACAGAGGACGATAGCATGGTTACTCTTGATAGACGGATGATAGTAGGAGACGAATTGCTGGACAAGTCTTCTGCAGAGACTCCGTACTCCGTACACATGGATGTCTGCGTATCTACCTGTAGACAAATCTCTCACTCTACTCCGTATCGATGGTCAAACAGGATCCCCAGTTAGTCCTGACAGCCACCGCTCAACAACAGTAACAGTCCATACGGAGTACTCCGTACTAGTACTGATATCCATACTGATGAAACACAGCTTTGACCAAGGCGATCCCTTAGATGTTTATGTTTACCCAAAGTACAGAGTTAGATTAGATGCAGACTGGAGACATTTAACCAACCGGGTACCAACCCCATCTCAAGCATATATGTATGTAGTCAGTAGTAAATAAATAGTCCACCACAGCCTGCCTTACCCAGCCAACTGACTGCCTTATGGAGTGAACTGGACCCTGCATGCCTTGGAGCTGTGGCGTGAGAGCTCGCCTAGCCCTTCCCTGACCAGACGAGTTCTCATGCTGAACTCCCGCTGGCCCGGGGCTCCGATGGGGAACTGGCCATATACTTTAAGAGTCAGTTACAGTAGTTAACTGATAGTGCTTCTAGTGCAGTTTATAAAGGCCCAGTTTTAAGCACCGGGGAACGTCTAAGTACTGAGCGGTTATAACGTCGATGCCTAAGGACAGGGATCTCGGCTCTGGTGAGTGATGACCCCCGGAGCCTATATCACTACCACCCGCATCCAATCACCAAGTCAGGCTTGCTCGCAGTCGGTGGAGGGAGGGAGCTTATGGAGTTACGTACTTAGTGCGTAGTGACGTCGTGGTGACTGCTAGTTGCAATAATAATAATCAAAATGTGCATAACTTCCTTCACCCCCCAAGAGAGCCATATGCAGCCTCACCTTATCCAAGTTCATGCCTGCTGGGTAGTTAAAGCTCCTTTCCCAAGCGGCCACTAGACATGGGCTCTTTCGGTAGAGGATCGACGCTAGACCAGACATACTTACAGACTGCCAGGCAGACAGACAGGTAATCGTATCTATGTGTTACATACCAACCTACATACTTAGTACCTGCTCATGGGCTGTGGCTCGGCGGAGTCGGAAGCAGGATGACTGCTGGACACGTAGATGACCATCCCTTCTGCTTACCGGACCGAGCGGAGCCTCGCTCGCCCATGGATGGTCGTCCACATGTTTGAAGTCAGCATATACCTAAAGACGATCGATCCCCATAGCCTGACGTATCCGGTAGACGCCCAGCAAATGCACACTCACGGACATTTGGCCAGCGGCGAAAATAGAAAAAAAAAGGGGAGAGACACAACCGGGAACTCTCTTACGTCGATTGTGCAACGAACACAGACCGGCGAGCGATCGTGTTCTCATCGGCCAGAAGTGCCCGGGTATCATCAAGTAACTAGAACGACCGATGGGTGGCGGTTACAGTGACCAGATAAACCGAAAAAAACCTGTTTTGCCCGCGTCTACATAGGCGAGTCGACCATCTGGATGTTTAAGTAGCCAGGTAGTGGTCAACTACCAAGTTGTCGAGAGTGCATATGTACGGGAGGAAGTATATATGTGTGTATGTATGTATGTGTGTCCTTCTGGCGGCCTGCATATAGACCTCGCCCTCGCCGGACGGGCGTGTGGCTTGCTTAAGTGACGTGACTGATGCGGGAGCTGCATGCGATCTGCTTATCGGAGCCTGTGTCCTAAGCGATCGAATCTATCATCTTCATCTTCATCTTCATATTCATATTCATATTCACCTGTACCTCCTCATCGTCGTCGTCGTCTTCGTTCTCGCTGGTTTTTTTCTTCTGCTTTTTGTCGACTTTATATCGACGGACCCACCCGCTGACTCATCAACTTGGAAGCTTAATTACACGTGACTAACCCTAACTCCACGGTTTCCTAATATAGCTTAGTCAGCAACATAATAAGGGGGGTTTTCGATGCTTCGATGCTTCGATATTTCGATATTTCGATAGGGGGTTTGAGACTAGCTAGAGAGCCATGTCAGGATGACTAGGGGGATATGTAGGGGGATAATTTGATAGAGCGTTATAACTAGTCGTTTGGCCGGAGTAATATTCTATAAACGGCGCAGGACCATGACATGCATGGATCACTCGGCCAACTAGGGGGCCCTCTTTTGAGTGGTTTCAGAGGGTCTTTTTTCTCCAGAGCTAGAGTTCCCTGGTACCGTGGAACAGCGACGGCGTCCCAGAGCCCAGCGCCAGGGGAAGCGGAGGGAACTTATGTAAGTATTTAGTGCTGGTGCTAGAGTTGCAAGGAGCTGCAGGCTAGCATGCACCCTAACAGGCTCGCTCGCCTGCCAACTCGCGAACGCAACGAACTGGGTCACTGCTCATGCATATCTGCCGTGCTGTAGCCCAAGCCGAAGCCTAAGCCTCTTCTTGTTCTCTACCGACGCTGCACATTAAGGTAACTCTAGCCCATTCCCCCCCCTCCCCTCCCTTGTGTTGCCTGCCTGTCTGCCTGTCTGCCTGCTGCTGCTTCGATCCTGGGGGATGCTGCTTAACGACACTGCAACGACGCTGCAACTGCAAGGGAGCGTGCGACCCTCCTTGTCATAGGTGTGAGTGTGTGTGTGGGTGACGGATCAGTAGGTCGGTCAGGAAGATGTAAGTGTCCGTCGAGTGGGTGTAGTGGTACACGCTACCCGATCGATCCATGACCCATGAGCCGTGTATTCAAGCCCTCAGCTGCAGGAATAATCGAAATAAAATATGTCTGTCCGTCCGGAATATGCATGTGTGTCTGTGTCTGGATGGAGGACGGAAGTGGAAGTATGCAGGTATGCGTCGGCGGATGGATGTGGACGGAGTGCGGATAATAATATACTTAATTAAAAAAAAAAAAAAAAAAAAATCATCTGCCAGCGAACTGTGGGATGTGCTGCAGGGGAGGACCGATGGCAGGCCACTCCCTGTATTCTCTCTAAGACACCGCTGGACCATCAGAAGTCATAAGTCATCATCTCAAGGGGGAGGAGAGAGAGAGTGGAGGGAGACAGTTGGTGTCCATCCCCCAGGTCAAAGTCCGGTAGACCATCCCCCTTCCAACGAGACTATCGGCTTGTTCTGTCTGATGCTCGACGTTAGTCTCCGTCCGTGACACGAAAAGTAAACGCAAATCTCCCACTCCTCCCTCCCTCTCCTCCCCTTGTCCAGAGCGAGGTTGGTTCTGCTTCTTTCTGCGCCTGTCGATGGTCTCTCTGGCTGTCGTGTCTGTGTCTTCTTCTTCTCCCCCCCTTTTTTTTGCAAACATCCATCCCCTTTTTTGCACTATATTTGCTTCTTTGCCCGCCCACATCCACATCCACATCCACATATCCGTTCTTCTTCTTCTGCTGCTGCTTCTTCTCCTTCTCTTGTTCGCCTTTTTTTTATTTTTTCGACTCTCTCGTTTCTTTTTTTTGCTCTGCTTTTTTTTTACTTCTTTCTCGCTTTTTTTGCTTTTTGGGTTTGTCCCCATCGTTGCTTTTTCCTCCTGGTCTGGCTGGCTTGCTCCGTCAGGTATCCCTCGTCCTTTTTTTCCTTTTTTTTTTTCCTACTATACTTATTTTATTTGTGCTGGCCCGTTTCTTTTTA